AGATGATATACCGCAAACAAAAGGTGCAAAGGTTTTTAAAGGCAGTGCTTTAATGCCTTTCTAGTTGCCGCGTTAATCTTTCTTTCCGCGATATCCAACTTATCTACGTGGGGGTCATTAGGCTCCAAGTAGATCCGGAAAATGTTGATTCTCTCCTCTTCTTATTGTGATATAAAATGTTTTTTGTTTCATTTCATTTACATTGGGAAATGGAGAAACGATCATTGTGTTTTGTTAGTTTTAAAAACTTTTGATATATTTGTATTTTACATTATAAGCAGTCAACCGATTGACAAACTAGAATTATTTGAATTCCGTGTGGAAAGAGGTCGGGTTAATTTCGAGTGTTATCTGCAATCAAGATGTTTATAAATCATTTCAGTCGTTGATATAATAATTAAAGGTCGACTGAACATGAATTATATTATACAATTTAAAGCGCATTTCTGTTTATGCACGCGAACCCGTCTAACGTAATTGTTATTTCGCGGGTATATAAAGTAGCAAATTATCGTTCCTGAATAGGTGGCGCCGTGGTAGCCGATCCTGTTCTTGGGTTGCACTAATGACAGGACGATTGCCCGGATAGTGACAGGACGATTGACCGGATGAGATATAAATAGTCATAACTTTTTTGTTATTCGGTAGATTTTTTTAATATTTGTAGACCTTAGAGATATTAAACTATATTTTATGAAAATAAAATAAAATATATGAAAAAAAATATTTTTGAGCAAATAAAGTTGACCGGACGGATTTCACACTCGCCGATATACGCTATACATATATTCAACTGGTCGACAACAGGTGTTAATATCTCTTTTGTTTTACAATATTTGTCGATGAAATTGAGGAATCTGTGAGAATAATAAATATATAATACGAAAATATAAACTTTATAGTAAACAAAAATGTTTTTCTGCAAAAAAAGTTGACAGGATGGTATTGACATTCGCCGATGTACGCGTTGATTATATTGAACTGATCGACAAAAAGTGTTTATATTTTTTTTGTTTTACAATATTTTTACATGAAACTAAGAAATATGTGAGATCAATTTATATATGATATGAAAATATAAATTTTATAGTAAAATAAATTGTTTTTCTCCAAAATAATTTGACCGGACGGAATTAACATTCGCCGATATATGCTTTAAATATATTGAATTGATCGACAAAAAGTGTAATATTTTTATTGTTTTATAATATTTTTTCATGAAATTAAGGAATCTTGGAGATCAATAAATATATGATATGAAAATATAAACTTTATAGTAAAAAAAAATGTTTTCTTCAAAAAAAGTTGGCCGGACGGATCCATGTGATATGCCAAGAGCAAAAGGTTATATAAATCGTCTTTGCTCAGTCTTTCTTCCTCATTGACTTTCCTTACTAGGTTCTCAACTTGTTTTACATTTCTAGCATTTAACACTCCTTGGTGTTCACCAGCAACTGAACCATTTGATATGTTTTCCCTGTAAACATCCATAGCAGTTTTGTCACCTGACTTTATGTCATGTTCTATTTTTCTTAATACAGAAGGAGCAGTGCGTGTATACTCAGGGGGATGTGACTTTTTGCTGTTCCCATGGCCAACGGGTACATACACCGTTTCATCTCCCTCACAATGCACAAGTATTAAGCTTTTGTTACTTTTGAAACTATATGCAGTTTTCTTAAACTGTAAAGAACCAACTGGTCTTTTTCTACCGTTTGTATTGTCTGTTGTTCCTGGTAATCGGATTTTGTAAAAATGTTTTTTAAGAACATCATTACCAATGGTGACTGATTTTGTATCATTATTTATCCACAGATATTGGTCACATTTCCAATCTTCTGCCCCAGTTTGAAACAAGTAAACTTCGTTTGCCTTTGGCTTATAAGGGGGAATATTCGATGTACGAGATGTTTTAGGATTTATTAAAATATCTACTATTTCTGTTTGATGTAATACATCTGTATACATATAGACAATTGACCCACTGTCCATTTTGATATTTTTATTCTTTGATTGGATTCTAATTGCCAACTGATTATATAAGGTAATTCAATTAAATGTATTTGATGTCACAGGTGTGAAAACTTTAATGACATGTTATTTGGCTTGATTAGTGATTACGACAAGTGTCAAAATTAGATTAATCTAATTAAATATAAGTACTTCTAGTGTGCCGTGGTGAACTCACTCAAATCAACATTTTGGGCTCAAAGTTTTTACTATAAAGTTTTTATTTTTGTATAATATATTTATTAATCTCATAGATTCATTTATTTCATGGACAGATATAGAAAAAAGAAGAGATATTAACACTTGTGTCGATCAGTTCAATATATTTAAAGCATATATCGGCGAATGTTAATTCCGTCCGGTCAACTTTTTTTGCAGAAAACATTTTTTTTTTACTATAAAGATTAAAATTTCGTATAATATATTTATTAATCTCCAAGATTCCTTAATTTTATGGACAGATATTGTAAAAAAAGAAAAGATATTAACACTTGTGTCGATCAGTTCAATATATTCATGGCATATATCGGCGAATGTTAGTTCCGTCCGGTCAACTTATTTTGAAGAAAAACAATGGTTTTTACTATAAAATTTATATTTTCATATCATATATAAATTGATCTCGTAGATTTCTTAGTTTCATGTAAAAATATTGTAAAACAAAAAAAATATAAACACTTTTTGTCGATCAGTTCAATATAATCAACGCGTACATCGGCGAATGTCAATACCGTCCGGTCAACTTTTTTTGCAGAAAAACATTTTTGTTTACTATAAAGTTTATATTTTCGTATTATATATTTATTATTCTCACAGATTCCTTAATTTCATCGACAAATATTGTAAAACAAAAAAGATATTAACACTTGTTTTCGACCAAATGAATATATGTATAGCGTGTATCGGCGAGTGTGAAATCCGTCCGGTCAACTTTAATTGCTCAAAAATATTTTTTTTCACTTATTTTGTTTTATTTTTATAAAATATAGTTTAATATCTCTAAGGTCTACAAATATTAAAAAAATCTACCGAATAACAAAAAAGTTATGACTATTTATATCTCATCCGGTCAATCGTCCTGTCACTATCCGGGCAATCGTCCTGTCATTAGTGCTTCCCAACAATTTATTCTACATAGTTCTATGGTACCAAATCAAAAGTTTATATAAAAGAAAGAAGTCAAAGGTTTCCCATCATAGTTTAGTTACATACATTTTTTTTGTTCCTGAGGTCGTTGAATATAGATCATTTTATATAAATAAGGAGATGTGTTATGATTGCCAATGAAACAACTATCATCCATACATTGTACCTACCAGTAACAAACCACATTTGCGAAGTTGAATAAAATACAGTTGACATTTACTTACTACTAAAAAGAAAATGCCAAACTATTTTAAACAGTTTTTGACTATAAACATAGATAAAAAAGGTACAAACTGGACATAATGCACTAGTTCATAAACAAGTGAGAACAAACGCCTTCATATAGTGCTCAGAATATGACATTCATAAAACTTGTTCAATATCATTAGAGAACTCTAAATCTTAAATACTGAAAGCCACCTCTGATAAGTACAATGTACTATGCAAGATAATGATATAACTGGACTAAAAATACACACAACCTGTAATTAATTGCCTTTACAGCGCTTTCGCGCTTTGATTGTACACCATATCCGGATTTCGACAAATAATGTATCTTCAGTGATGTTAGGAATCGAAACGGTATTTGGAAAGCCCAACAATTTACCTCAATTTAGGATAGACTCTTGAATTTTGAGGAGTCAAAATAGGATGAACGAATCATATAAACCCTAAGGCAAATATAATACAAGCCCAAACGAAAAATATAAACAAGTCTAAATTGAAAACAACGTTCAAACCTATGATTGCGTTGGATAAAAACCGCAATTTTTATACCTGTGCATGCAAAACAAATTTCTTGTTAGAGGGGTCTGGATACAATAAATAATTTATATATACTTTTTCTTTAAGAAATTTAGATGAAAAAAGGGTATAACCCATAAAAAGTAACACATTAATCAATAATGGAGAAAACCAAAATGATTTGAGGATAATCATAAAAACTTCAGAACTTATTTAGTCAATGTAGAATCCGTTGAATGACTAAGGTTAAACCCATCAAAAGCTATCTACCTACAGGAGGCATGTATTATAAATCTGTAACATAGAGAATTTGTCTTGGACTTATTAATCTAACCAACAATTCTAGAATAATGATTATTTACAAGGGATCCATAACGGAAAGTATTTCCAAAACACACAAAAAAAACGATTTTATACTTTCTTCTTGTTGTAATGCGCTAATCCATGAAAGTTAAAGAACAAGTCCCCTTTCGGACAATCAAAACAATCACAAAAAAACAGATATTTCCAAGCAATAAATAACCGTTGTATGCAATGTGCAAACAAGATAAATGTAGTAGCAAGGGTCCAAAAGTTCAGGGTTGACGACCGGACTTCTTTTCTGAATTTCACAGAACTTCAAACATTTACCGAATGATAGATTCACTGGGTCCGCCGATGCCTCGCTGGTCCAGCAGAATATAACTATAGCCGTATTATAAGTTAGCTATAAGTTTGATTGATTATACAATTAGTATACATGTATTGTGATTCAGGTTAACTTAGTTACGTGTCATTGACAAGTCGAAATTTACAAAATTAGCAGTCAATTCATTTTTATGACTAATTCACTAAATTGTGTTATAAATCGGTATCTTGTTGTGACGACTTTATACATTTATTAAATACTATGTGATTATCAGATACTGCTGAGACCGTTCTCCCGAGATTGTCCGTTTCTCCAGGATTCAAGCTCATTTTACACACACCAGTCACATAATTTCTTGTACGTCAGAAAGTTAGGGATGGGTTCGTATATCAATCCGAGATTATTCAGATGTCTGACGGTCATCTTTTTGTGTGGCGTCAGTGTGCAGTACATGTAAAAACATGGAAATTACCTTGGGGCGGCACTTTTCTATCTGAAGATCGTCAAATTGTAAAACAGATAAAATATGCATCATTTGCATCCTAAATTAATTTCCTCCACACATGTTTAGCTTTTATTCACCTACTGCCGCCTTGTAGCACAAGTGAATGCTTTATTCCCCTGAACCATCCTTATTCATTGACGTACTTTCACTTTCTCTTGTATTTATTGCGATCTCTCGTTATTTTAACCGAGTACTTTCACTTTGGAGCTTATTCAAACATATACGTTTACAAGTATGCGCACGAAATGAAACAACACAGTCATGTGAAGCTTGTTCAAAGTGAAAGAACGTATCAAACAATGGAGGGTTTAGGTAATAACGCGTTCGTTTGTGCTACTGGGTGTTAGTCTGTGGGCAAAAAGTTCATATTCATGAAAGACATGAATAAGGAAGCGGATAATGTATGGCTTATCTGCTCGACAATGGATCTTTGAGTTCTCAACACAGCAAGTTTGGGTTGGCAATTTCCATGGTTTCAGAGTACTGCGTTTCGACACCCCACGGACCCAGTAAGTCATGAAAAGTCCACCAGACGTCAGAGCAATCCATGACTAGTATCAATAAATTGCTTCGCCGAGCGCAGCTGGATACGACCGCAGAGGTCCAACCCTGAACAGTTGGGACAAAAATGGACACACTATTTGCGCTTGATACAGGTCTGAATTTGGATTGTAATTAAATATTTGACACATAATAGGTTTCTGACACAGAATAACTGTAGTCAAAGAACTTAGAATTGGTTATATGATTTGAATTTATATTCAATTTTTTGCTTTTGTGCAATACACTTTCCTGTTGCGAATTGACCCCCCTCTCCCCCAACAAAAAAAAAACTAAAAAAAAAAAAAAAATTACCCCCCTTTTTTTTTGGCTTTTGTGCAATACACTATGCTGTTGCGTATTGACCCCCCCCCCCTTTTTTTGCAAAAAAAAAAAAAAATATTTGAAGAATTTTTTTTTTAATTTCTGAAATCTGAAATGAGAAAAAATTGACCACCCACAATTTCTTTCTACCCCCCCCCCCCCCCCCAAAAAAAAATTTTTTTTCACCGACCGCCCCCTTTTTCCCCAAAAAAAATTCTTTCCCTCATGATATGGTCATAATCTCAATTCAAATTTCCAATGGAGTTTACCCATAATTACCCATTTAAATTTTTAGCATAGTGCTAACTTAATCTATTTTATAATAGAATTTAAAATATGGTGTCAAATCTTTCATATGGATTTTTTGGTAAAAAAAAATATGCAACATTTGCAGATATTTTTACTGGTCTTCCTTTATAAATATGCATTTCTTTATACATAATTTAAGAGCAGTGTAAGGGAGGTAATCAAAACGTTGTGTTTGGATTACCTCCCTTACACTGCTTTTAAATTGTCTTAAGTAATTGTCCATTAACCATTTCTTAAAACATAATTTAAAAGCAGTGTAAGGGAGGTAATTACACTGTTTTAAATTATGTTTTGTACTAAAGTTATTGTCCTTTAACCAGGACACCCATTTTTGTCCCTAATTCCTAAACGGTTTGAGCCATAACCCCCCAAAGCAAATCCTAACCATCCCTTTGTGGTATGGAAACTTGTGGTATAATTTCAGAGAGATCCATACACTGTTCCACAAGTTATTGTCTGGAAACTAGAAAAATGCTTATTTGGGCCCCTTTTTGGCACTAATTCCTAAACTGTTAGGACCATAACCCCCAAAATCAATCTCAACCTTCCTTTTGTGGTTATAAACCTTGTGTTTTAATTTCATAGATTTCTATTTAATTATACTAAAGTTATTGTCCGGAAACCAACTGTCTTCGGACGACGACGACGATGATGACGACGACGACGTGATACCAATATACGACCGTAAAATTTTTTTGCGGTCGTATAAAAACATGTCGTCTAAAATGATATGTCACAATTGGTAATTTCATATGACCATACGTTTACAGAAAGGTGATGGGGGGTCAAAAAAAAATTGGAATTCGGTTGGGATCATTTCATTTCGCTAAATTAGACGGTTATAAAATAAAAATAACACTTATAAAGGATAGGAAGATGCGTAGGAAAATGTCCATTTATCTGCCTTTTTAATCTCCATGTTCACGTTGAAACGATAATTGTCTTGGGATCCCTAGTGCAAAATCAAGTGGCAAATCTTGTCTATACTGCAATCATTAAGAAATGGGACTCTTCGATGTTTGGCACAATCTCCACGAGTACACCACTGATTACAAGTTATAAATAGTTGTAAATAGTGATTATGAGCAAATACTTAAATAAAAACAGAATTAACCTATAATGATATCATTTCCCCATAATATATAGCAAGTAATGAAAACAGCAGGCTATATATGATTTATGTAAAATTTATTTGAAATATTGCTCTGGGAACAAATTCCTCGTGTATATTAATCTCAAAAAAATTCTATTGGCTATATACGTCCATGGCACACGCCAAGTTGTCTGTATATATATGCAGCAAGTCAAGAGAGGTTCGGGAAAATATAGTAACAAAATCGATTGATATATAGTCAAATTCAAAAAGACCTTATTTCAATATGCGGTATATCGAAAAGATTGCACATACAAGAACACAAAAATATACGACCTATTCTAAAATATTTGTTAAATAAACTGTTATCACAGAGATATGTCTAGCCTTTTTGTAATTTTGATAATGCAAATGTTGAAATTAAAATAGCAATACTTTAACATGTAAGTTATGCAAATATTCAAAGTCGGTGAACCATGACTGAAGGTACATGGCTAAACTATTTCCATGGAATGAGATGTGCCAATGCTAATACAACTGCATACCAAATACCATTGACTTATTATAAGTCGTTCCCTTAACAAACCTAAACACAAACATTAACTTGTAAACTATGTAAAAGTTTAAAAGTCAATGAACCATGATCAGGGGTGGGGCTATATAATCTCCATGGAAACGGTACTTGCAAATGCCAATAAATTTGCATACCAAATATCATTGACTTAACATTAGCAGTTCATCTTAAACTGATCTAATCACAAACTAATACATGTAAACTAAGCAAAAGTTTCAAAGTCAATAGACCATGACTGAGGGAGCGGGGCCAAATATTCTCCATGGAAATGAGATGTGCTAATGCTTATACAACTGAACACCAATTAACATTGGCCTACCACTAATGGTTCCCCTTGAACTGACCTAATCACAAACGAATACATGTTAACTTAGCAAAATTTTCAAAGTCTATAGACCATGACTAAGGGGGCGGAGCCAAATAATCTCCATGGAAATGAGATATGCCAATGCTTATACAACTGCATACCAAATATTATTGACCTACCACTAGTGGTTCCCCATAAATTGACCTAATCACAAACTAATACATGTAAACTATGAAAAGTTTCAAAGTCAATAGACCTTGACTGAGGGGGCGGGGCCAAATAATCTCCAAGGTAATGAGATGTGCCAATGCTAATACAACTGCATATCAAATATCATTGACCTACCACTAGTGGTTCACAATGAACTAGACCTAATCACAAACTAAAACATTGTTGACGCCGTCGCCGCCTTCGCCGGAAACAGCATACTTATGTCTCGCTTTTTGACTCCGTCAAGGCGAGACAAAAATTGTTGGTTGGTTTTTTATTTTACAAATAATAATTTTGTAAAAACACAATTTTCCTCTATTCATTTCACCGAAGAACAGACATATTTTCTAGATCTTTATATATATACATACACAGACAATATTATTATATTAAAATTTCCACGAACTATTGAAAAGACCATTGTGCTAGAAAACTTGGTTGTGGAAAATAGATAGAGTACGTGAAACTGTATCATACTAAGGATCATCTGGAAATCGATGTATAGAAAGACCTTTAGATTTTTTATGTAACATGATTTGTTTTTTTTTCTTTTTATATGTAGCAAAGATTATCTTTGTTTCAAGTATCAGTGTTAAAAAAAAATTCTATTTCAATTCTTTCAATATTTTTCAAATAAATAATGAAAAACAGTTAATCAGTGACACTATAAGCATGTTAATTTCAGACAATAAAATTAAACAGAATTTTTGTTTAAATATGTTGGATTGTGGTCCGAAATGACTTTTAATTAATATAATTAACAAAGTTTCAAGTTTCAAGTTTTGATTTCTCAAAGACCCCAAAATGGGTATGTGAATAGTAACAAACAAATTAATATTCATAATATAACACCGTAACAAAGTAATGCAATGAACATTATAGTTATTCTTTAACACACATATATATATATGCGTGTACAAGAAGTAATACATTTATTCCGACTTTAACAAACATGACTTTATCATATTGTTCCCGCTTCACCTGTTCCACACACTTACGTCCCCTACCATTAAAAATACCGACGTACGTCAGACAAGCTTTTTAAAAAGCTAGAACTATTGTTTGTTGACTTCACAAATTTTCAAGATTCTCTTAAGGATTCTGTACATTATTCAGTATATAAAAAATACACAAATACTGATAATTGCTTACCTTTTGCGATAAAATATTTGGATTACTGAACAAGAAGTCTCAGAAAGTAGGCCATGGGTATATTAATATACGATGTAAGCAGGCAGTGGACACATTTTCCGGAATTTAAATAAATGTTACCGTATTTTTAACGCATCTGTTTGTGATATGATGTGTCGTCATTCCATTAATAAATCTGATCTTATCATTACCACATTAAAGTCAAAAATATATTTTATTTTAATCTTATCGAAGAAGTAATCTATTTGTTAAATTGAACACAACAAATATATACTTTTATACAACATATTGTATTTGAGAGGGATGACATAGGATATGAAATAAACGTGCCTGAATGTGTTTAATTATGTACTTTATTATTTATTTATTCATTTGTTTATGTGTTGTCATTATAGTTATCATAATCATTATTTATATCATTATTATAATCTTTTTTTCAAATTTCAAATGTTAATTTTACTCGGTTATTTATCAACGCACTTTGTTGTAATATTATGTAAAGGAGACTTGAAGACTTCATAAGTTGGTTAAACTTGTCTCCGATCCTATTTGTATCTTTGAGCAAATAACATTGTTATAAACTAGAAGCACTTTGTTCCTGATTTTATTTGTTGTAAGTGAATCTACAACATTAAACAGT